AGCAGGGTGCGTGGTGCCCGCAGCGGTAAAACACTGGGGAGGCTAGCCAGGACCAAGCAGACTGGTTAGGGGTCATGGAGCAGGAGCTGCCTGGGCTCTGGGGGCTCCTATGGTCACCCTGGCTTTGGCTCTAGGCTCCTGCTGGCATGTTAGACACACACCATGTGCATGCTGCTGAGAGACAGCAACCTGAAGTCAGCCAAACTGACCTTTATGGGGTCAGCCCCTCTGCAGGGAAAGCAGGTAAAGTGCACTGGGCCCAGTGCCCCCAGCTTGACTCTGGAGAGCAAGGGGCAAATAATTGGCTGCCCTGGGTCCCAGCTGGGCAGGACCACAGGCTGTGGGGCAGCTGCTGGGCCTGCTGTGCCCTGCCAGGATGATGTGAGGGGTGCCTGGGCAGCCTTGTCCCCACTGCAGGAAGCTAGCATGTGAATAACCTGCCATCGAGCACCACAGAGCCCAGGACAAGAGGAGCTGATGGCAAGGGTGTCACTCAGAGTTCAGCAGTGCCCTCCTATCACAGGGTCTAGGCAGGGCTCTGTCCAGCCTCGGCGTGCCTGTTCTGCGCACAGTGTTTCACTTGTGTCTCTCCCAGCTACAGCCAGGCAGGTGGCCCAGTGGGCAGGGCTGTCCTATGTCTGGCCGGTAATTGGTCCATGCAAAGCAGTGGGGCAGGTAAGTTACACCCTCTGCCTAATGCCTACCCCACTGTTCAGAAAGGGGCAGGCAGCTCCTGAGGATGCCAAGTGCAAGGGACCAGTTTCGTGCTGGCTGGAGTCCTGGGGAGGCCATCTGCCCTGCCCAGGCATCCTCCTTCGAGAGGCATTCAGTCACAGCTCCACTAGCTCACTGTTCCTATGTGTGCATGCTCCCAGTACAAGCCCGCCCTGGGTGTGCACACGCACTCATGCCATCCTGGCACATAGACCTGGTGCATGTGCACCCGCGTGCATGCACACCCACGCAGCCTAGTCCCTGCTCACCATGTGCAGGCACATGCATGCACACATGTAGACAGGGCAAAGGCCAGCTAGAGCTCCCACCACCCTGGGCATGATGCTACATCGTCATGGAGAGGTGGAACAGGTGGCGCTGGCGTCACGCTCCTCCCATTGGCTCAGACCTCCCTGTAAGACACAGAGAGAGAAGCTCTTAGCAGCCTGTTGGTGGGTGCTCTCCAGGCCCATGGCCCAGTTGCACATGCTACCCTCACTGTCCCAGAGCCCTCCCCCCACAGCATTATCTCCTCTTTACTGCACAGAGATGCTCTCCAGACTGCTGAGCTAGGAGGCAAGCTCCAACTGCAAGGAGACTGTAAGAAGCCCTGGTGCTCCCCCGCCAATGCCCTGCATGGTGACCTAGGCACCAGAGGCAGCCCAGCTCCCCGGTTCCTGGCATCAGCAGGCTCTACCCAGAGGCAGCTGGCGAGCTGGAAGGTGTAGCTTGGCTTGTAGCACTTACGAGGCAGTCAGCGTGGAGTTCAGAAGCAGTGTGGTCCGGAGCCTGTGGAGTTGTGCCAACGTCAGCTTGCGGTGTTGGGCCGCCTGTGGGTCTGAGAGTGTCCGGCGGGCAGTTGGCAGCTCTTCTGGGCAACACTCTGTCAGGGAGGTGCTGAGTGCCCGGCAGGGGACGTCAGTGGGCAGAAGCTCAGCCGGGGGCGTTGCTGCAGGGCAGGCCCGACCCTGGTGGAACACGGGCTCCTCAGGCTCCGAGAGCTCTGAGGCAGAGCTGCCACCACTGCTGCTGCTGCAGGCGCTCAGGCCACTTGCCCGGCTGCCCTGCAGGCTGCTGCTGTCCAATGGGGCTCCCATGCATTTGCCATCCAACCCGCTAGTCCTCGGGCAGCCAGCTGGGACGCCCACAACCGAGCCAGCCAGGAACACCACTCGCCCTGGAGATGAAGATGGAGCTGCGCACAGGTCAGAGAGGCTCTTGCTCTGGGTGAGGGAGGCCTCTGGGCCAAGTGGGGAGGCTGCAAAGAGCTGCAAGAGGCTGGCCTCTGACTTGGATTTGAGCACACGGACACAGCAGGGCAGGAGCTGCACGGGTGTCCGGCGGCGCAGCTTGGGCGAGATGCGCTGTGAGTCTTCCTCTGCTGGCCCTAGTGGCTGCACCTCCCCCAACTCCTGCAGGGAGGCAGGCGACAAGGTGCCATAGGCACTATCCATGGATGCTGACCAGGTGCTGCCAGTCTCCAGTGCCAGGCTGCTGTGGGTGCCAGGGATGGGGAGGGCATTGGCAGGCTCCTCACTCCCATTGAGGAGCTCCCGGGTGGGCGTGGTAGACGAGGCGGTGGTACTTATGGAGGTCTCGTCTGATGGTGAGCTGAATGGCCCCACCTCGAAGTCTGGGGAGGAGAGCTCCCCGCTGGCATCCACCACCACCACCGAGATGGTCTCTGTGGAGCTATCAGAGGGGCTGAGAGGGAGAGAGGCTGTCAGGAAGGAGCTGAAGGTATGGGGAGCCTGGGCAGGGTATGGGGCTGGCAGTGATATGCTGCAGACAGTAGGACCAGGTAGGGGCATGAGTGGACAGTGAGGGGAGGCAGCCCCTGTGGTGGGGAGGATCCCAGTCTGTAAGTGTCTGGGGCCATTCCAGCAGCAGGTGGCTCCAGCTCCAGGGTGCACTATCCACTGGCTGGTCACTGCAGCTACATCACTGGGGTCGGGTTCCCCATCTCCACCCCACCCAAATGGGCCTGCGGTCCTGGTGGTGTGTGGGAGCACTGGGCTGTACCATGGGGGCATATGTGGGTGGGCTGGGCCATACCACTGCTGGGAGTCAAGACTGTTGCTGCTCTTGCGCAGGATGGTAGGCGAGCTGGCAGCCGAGGCCCCACTCTCCCCGTCCTCCGCCTCCTGCAGGCTCTGCAGCTGCTGTTGCTGGCTGCGCTGGTGCTCCTGGACACGCAGCTGCTGCAGCAAGTTCTGCAGGCAGACAGAACAGCCTTTAACATGGACACGCTGCACACTGTGGCATGCCCCCATGACCCACCGTCAGGACCAGCCTGTTTGGCTATTGCCTGCTTGAGTGTCCTGTCCCAAGACAGCAGCTTATCACCCAGAGCTAGCAGAGAGGTTAGCGGCCTTGCCACACCAAGGCACACCCCTACTGCCATGGAGACTCTGCCCTCATGCATGTGCCATGGGCACACATCATGCTGTGCATGTTTCCATGGGTACCCAGCCTATGCATAACTCCACTGTTGTCCCCCTCCACCAGAGCAGGCACTATGCCAAAGCCAGGGCCACAGCACTGGCCATGGGGCTGTTTCCTCCCCACAAGAACACCAGCCCCACAGAACCCCCACTGCCTTGAGGCACAGACCTTGCTGGAGGCTCCGGGCATTACCTGGGCATTGTAAAGTGCATCAGTCCATCCACGGCACAGGGACTGCCCGCTGGCCTGGAAGGTGTAGGCACCCACAGCACTCCGAAACTCATTGAGATAGATCAGGAGGAAGGAGCCTGCCAGGGGCACAAGCAGGCAGAAGCCCGGCATAAGCAAGGGGCTCCCCCAGGGACCTGCAGCAGAGGCACTGCCTTACCAGTGTAGGCAAGGCCAGGGATATGCTGCCTGGCCAGGGGGATGCCTGTATCCCCAGGCCAGGCTGGACAGACAGCAGAGCCTGCTGCAGGGTGAACACAGCTCTAGGGCAGACCTGGGTAGTACGGAGGTAGGTTCATGCCCCCAAATGCCCAACTCCGTTGCAGTAGGCCAGAACTGATGGTGCAGGAGAATAGGCCATGCAGCACCCAGAGGGCATGGGCGAGGGTGAGTCCAGCTGGCAACAGCCCACATTGGGCATGGTGGCATGATGGGGCTCTTTCCTCTGCCCTTAAAGCTAGCATCATCAAGAGGTCAGGCCTCTGTACCCAGGATGGCAATGGAAGAGTCCCAGCTGGCAGGGCAGGGGGAAGGAGAGAGGGGAGTCCTCAGGTGACCTTTCCCAACTAAGGCAAGGCAGGTTGGCTCTGCTGGGCCAGAAGAAAAACCTCAAAGATGAGAGAGAAGTGCAAGGCCCCATGCCCACCCCAGCCCTCAGACCCACATGCTCCTCACCAGGGTCCTTGAGCTCCCGGCAGACAATCTTGTCCACCAGCAGGGGCTGCCGGACGACCTTGGTGCGCTCAACCTTCTTCACTGGCTTAGTGATGAGGAAGAGGTCCGTGAAGAGGAAGCAGTACACATCCATCTGGGGGCAAGAGCCATAGGCCATGGGACTGTGTAGCAGTACAACTGGGAGTCAGGGACTCCTCAACCTAGGGGACACCCCTGGGCAGTGTCACACCATTGACCTCAGTAGGGCTGCACCTCCCAGGGGGCAGGGGAAGTGGCCCCAAGAGCACCTGCACACTGCCACCCACCCAGAAGCTTCTGTGTCAAGCCCACAGCATCCAAGAGAGAAGCCAGGGAGGTAGTGGCTTAACCACAGAGCCAAGATACTGATAAGTCCAAGGCTAGCTACAAGGGGCTCCTGCTCTGGTGGTGTCCCTTACCTTGCTGTCTTTACCTTCCTTCATCTTCAGGCTGCCCTCCAGGAGGAGCTGCCGTGTATCCTCAGGGGAGGCGCCTGGGATGGGGGCTGTCAGATCCAGGCGCAGGAACTCCTTCAGGAGCTGCAGGGCAGAGCAGAGAGGCAGTCAGTGTGTGATGCACAGGGCACACCTAGTCCTGGCCAGCTTCAGCCCCAGCCTACCTTGTCCACCTCATCTGTGCTGCTCTCCACCACCTCGTAGGCATCAATGCGGCTGATGATGGCAGCCAGCCGCTGCTGCTCCTGCCGCTGCCGCATCCGTGAGTTCACATGGTTGATGAACTGCTCCACTGAGGTGATCTGCAATGGGGGGAGCACTCAGAGCAGAGACCAGCAGGCTTGACTCACAGCCTCTGCCAGCGTGCCAGTCCCCCTGAGCACAACTGACTCCTGCTGCACAAGCTGGGGACAATTCCCTGTGCAGCACCTGCCATAAGCAGCTGTGTCCTCAGGCAAGGCACAGGGTGCTCCAGCGTGGCACAGCGGCATGCAGACAGCAATGCCTGGGTGCATGCTGTCCAAGCAAAACTGGGGCCATTTTCCTCCCAGCCTCCCTGGTGTCCAGGCATCCCCTGACAGATTACCATAGTGATGATGGCATCCCTGGTGCAGGCATCATCTGTCTTCTTCAGCACTGACTTAAGCAGGAGTGGGTACTTGGTGAGGCGCTGGTGCG